TAGATAGCCCTAATGTATTTTATTTTGCCGTAATCTCGATAAACCAAATCAATCTTTGCAAAGGTTTTATGCCAACAATTTTCCTCTTACGTTTATCGTTCCAACACCATGTAAGTTTTTTTTTATTGCGCTGATGAATTTGTACAGAAAAAAGAGTGGATGTTGCCTTTCGAAATATTTTCACTTTAAGCGTAACATGAGAGCTCTATTATTTTAAATGATCATAATCTCGACCGCATTCTTTAGAATAGCAATATCTGAAATTTCATCGATTGAGCGGATAGACCGCCAGTTGTTCATATAGCGGGAAGTTGTTTTATGACCACCTTTACCTATGTATTATGAGATAAATATGTGGTAGTTAAAAGTTAATTAATTAAAAGCTTTTTACATAAATCGTGAGACCTGGATTTGGATCTGTTGCAACAATTAGAAAGAGTTTCTCTTGTAATAGTTTCTTTCAATCCATATAATCCAAGTGCTGGGCAACAAACGTTTTTTCCTTAGTCGTGAGTCAGTGTTACGTGTTAATTTAATTCAACAGTTACTTTACACTTCGAAGTATGAACGGTTTGGTTTGGTTTATTAGATTACGGCAAAGCACTCGAGGGCTATCTGCCTTAAGGGAGGGATGCTTTCGTGAAGGACTTTTTAAGGGAAACTGGCTCGTGTGCACGTTACTCATGGGGAAAACCACGAAAACACCCATGCAGCCAGCCCGTTCGCGGGATTCGAACCTCGGACCGAACTACCAGCGTTCAGCGACGTTACCGCTCGGCCGCTGGTGGGCCCGAAGTATAAACGGAAGTACAATGAATAGTTATTAATAACAAGAAGTGCAGTCTGCGAAATTTTCAGCTCAAGTGCTGTTTAATCATAGGAAACTGAAAGCAACAGCTTTGTAAATTATTAGCACGAAGAAAGACATACATATACACATATATGTAGTATAAATTAGAAGAAAAAATTTAAAAATTAGCCGAAATGACATAAGAATTAGATATAATGATACAAGGCACTAATAAAAGCTTAATAAATGTTATATTTATTTATATACCTTAAATCAAATCAAGATCATTGTGTATGCATATGCGTTGTATTTTCAGAATTTCTCAAGCCCCAAGGAAAGTATTTAAAACAGCAACTAAATTTGATAATATAGTATTCAATTTCGAAATTTTTTTAAAAATATTTTTCTGATGGATCTGAGTTAATAAATTATGGTTAGAAGTGTAGGAAACTTTGCTTTCACAAGACATCGCATGGTTAACAAAAGTGATAGGTACTTGTTTACATAGAATTATTAACTCCATTTTTGCATCTGCAGATTATTATTATTTGCATTTGTAGCATTGATTAGAGATGAAAATGATTTCAGTACAGAAGAAACGAGTAAGCACAAATAAAATCAAATAACAAAAACACTAATAAAATCAGGAATTTCAATTTTTAATCTTAATATTTTAAATTTAGAAGTGCTACATGTAATAAAAGACATGAGATCATGTAAGTCTGACGAAAAATTCGATGATGTATGTTAACATCAACCGATTTACCTAAAACAGGTTATTAGGAAGGAAATAACTTTGTGTGATACGAATAATAAACGGATAAGAAATAGTTATAGAGATTTTACCGCACGTTGTTAGCAGTATGAAAAAAAGCTTTGCTAATGGAATGAGTCGCAACAAAATTGCAATAAGCAATACATTTTGAGGGATTTGTGCAATTAAAACAATATTCTACAGAATCTGAACTTTTGATTTCATAAAGTGAATATATAAAATGGTTAAAATGCGAAATGAGGATTTAAAAGCTCAGTTTTATTTAGCTGAAAAAAAAAAAAAAATTCTGAAAGCTTTCAGATTTTATATTTTAGATTCAGACGCCCAAAGGAGCGTTTTCTTAACGTTTTGTGTGTTATCTTTATTTCTTAGATATCATATTCTTTGCACTTAAACCATATAAAATTCAATTGCATTCAATATTATCCCAAAAATAATATCCCAAAATATTCAAAAACAGCATATCCTTAGAATTTCTGATAGACAGTCTCGCGCGTTGAAGATAAAAAAAAAATTACGTGTAGTGTTGCCAGTACTCGCTCTGAAATCGTTGAATTTGTTAATCAAAAATTCGTTGTTTTACAAAATATGTGAAATAGATAATAAAACATTTTCGAAATTCAAAATTCGGGCGTCCAGCTGCCCATGTTCGAGTAGAGGATTACCTTATTCAAAATTTATAGCTTTTTAGGTACACCTTGCAAATGCACACAAAAAAAGTAACAGTTCTATATCTCCCGTTCTACTGGACCGATTGTCGAAATTTAACTTGTGTTTTCCATGTCTCGAAAGCGCGACTTGGCATATATATTAGATTTATATACAGCATTGTTCTAACATAGATATTTTGGCACAAAATCGGACTTTTTCTGAAATAACATATGTTTTCCATATTTCGATTCTGCGACTTAAATTATGTCAAAGTGCCAAGCTTTGTAAAACTCGCACGAGTAGAATTTAAAAAATTAGCTCTCAAAATTTTGCTGCTCCATGTTAATTGAATTTGATATATATTTATTAATATCTCTTTTTTTATTAAATTTAGTTGATTCTTCCTTTCACATTTCGAAATTTAGGTTCATTCCAAATCAAATTCGTACAATTTTTATGATTTATTTTGAAAATTTGTATTTTAAAATAATTTTTATAAATTTTTCGAAACACATTTTGAATTATAACCTGTAAATGTTTTACCATCATCTTAAAGTAGATGTATTTCTGAGCATACCTGCAAAAATTATTATTACGAGGTATTTTAAGGCAGAAACAATTTTAATTGTAATTTTAATATTATCTTAAATATATTCTAGTGTTCGTCTAGGTGTGGCCTCTTAATTTAGTTACGCTGTTTGTTTGAATGCTGATTCAACGACATCGTTAAAACAGTCAACCCGAAAAGAAAAGGTAGGCTGAATTTTGAAATTTCATTTGAAATAAAAAATCTGATGTGTACACCACATGACTTCCTTGTACAGAATATTAAATTATACGCATTTTTTCTTGCATTTCACTTACACTTATTGGATTGAATTAAATCTACTTCGCCGACAGCGTATAAACCACAATAGAATAAATGCATTCTTTAAAATTCACTCTATTTGTTTACCATAACGACACTCTGGCACTAGATTCACTTAACAGTATTATACTTCGTTCATATTATAATTCAGAATGTTATATCATTTAAAGAATTATCTAATCGTTGCCACATGTTCTATTCAAATACTATAACAATAATAAAAGTAGAACGATGTGTAAAAGAAATTAAGCAAACAAAACAGAAAAGAAACAGTTTTTCAGAGGATTGAGTATTTCTCATTCAATTAATTCAGTTCTCACTTCACGACAAGGCAAAAATACATAAAAATCCAAAATATATGTATTAAAAATTACGAAGTAAATCTTAAACGCTTATTTCCTCGAAAACATTCCAGAAAGGATAAAGTATGATTTAATTCGAAATAATAAATGAATGCGTTATCTTTGTTGTTGCGAAGCTAAGTTTCTCTAGATTGGCAACAAATCCACTTGTCTCCTGTTTCAAATGTAAACATCAATGGCCGCCACAAAGAAAGGCTTAGCGTCACTTAGACAACTTTAAAATTGTTGATAATTCTAAAAATATTGCAGACAGATTTACTAAAGGCATAAAAACCTTAACCGGAAGATAAAAACAACATAATACAATCATTTTTAAAGCAAAAAATGTACAATTTACAAACATATAAGAGTAAAGAAACTGAGATCATGAGCGGGTAACAGAGTGAATATATATAAATATATTTATATACGTTTGGTGCGGCCGATTTGCAACCAAAAATACGAGGTGCACATCTACATGTTATAGCAGTCCTATATACCAAATTTCAACGTTCTGAGGCTACTCGTTTTTGAGGTATGCGAGATACGTACGTACGTACATACGTTCGTACAGACGCCACGAAAAATTCTCTTCAGAATTAATTTTAAAGCAGTTTTATAATTGTTTTGAAGGAAAATAGTATTTTATTCTGTCCTTACGTACAGATATCACGCATTCGATAGCTGTCATCATCGATATCGGTCGAAATACATCGTTAAATTGCATTCGATAGCGGTCAAAATGGATATTTTCGTTGAAATATTCTGCCTGAAACTTTTCGCGATAACAGTACTTCCTTTTTACTTCGTACGAGGAAGTAAAAATTACTAAGTTAATTTTTTAAAAAATTTAGGTCTAGATTTGAATAAATTATAGAACACAAAAAATATATGCGTAAATACTTATATTATGCTTAAAATACGCATATAGCATTTTACATCAAAATTTATAGTAGTATTATTATTGCAGAACTATGAGATAATTTTGTAACGATTACTTGGATAATAATCATATTATAACGGCAAATTCAATTTCTGATTATTTTTCATTTCAAATATATAAAATAAACTTCACTTCTTCTTTGCAGAAAATAATATATTTTATTAAGGCATTTCTTATTGTGAATGTTGATAATAAGTCAGCTGTATTTTGAAAAACAGAAATCGATTTTCATCTGTGGAATTGGTGCAATAATTTTAAACCACATCTAATATAGAAAATTCATAAAGCGGCGGAATAGTATGTTTGCAAAAGCTCTGAGTAATCTTCACAAAGCAAGAGAAATAAAGAAAAGAGGGAATTGAATACACTGTTTGTATATGACAAATATCATATATCATTTGCAGTGTTTCATAGAACAGCTTTAGTGTCAATTCATAATAAAACTAAACAGTTAAAAACAAAACATACGAAAACAGAAAAGTAAGCATCGGCCAGTAGGAAAAATGGATTAGGTATTTACTTAAAATTTCGATTACATTAGAATTTCTATCTCAGACTTTTTTGTTAGGTTTTTATTACGTATGTACTGCGCTACCAATGGTATTTTTGGGTGTGAAAATTTTACTATAAAAGCCTCCTATTCACACTGCAACACTGAACGTTAGCGCCTTCTTAGTCTTTCTTTATACGTCACACTTACAAATAACTTCCATAATGAGTGTCTTTTTTTCGACGGGTTTGGTAATCGTACTCTTAGTTTGGACTTCTTTAACAGGTAATATAATATATTTACATTTCTGCTACCAAGATGAATTTTATATACTACTTGTCTTTAAATTATATTGTTAACTTTGTTTCGGCAGATCTCTGACTTGCAGAACGCTGCAATGCATTGCAAAGTTATTTTGATTTGAATTTTTCCTCCATGTACATTTACAAGTGAAGAGTACACGTTTGAATGTATTTAGCCCATTAGTGGCCGAGTGATAAAATTTCTGGACATTGGTAGTTCCACCGTGATGTAGATGGAATGAACATTCTTAATTTATTGTACTGAACAAAGCACTTACGACTATGTATTAAATTAAGTTAGGCTATTGCAATATGCCAAGAACACGAAGGTTATCTTCCAAATGGGAGAAATGGCTTTTGTGAAGGGTGTTTTAAGCGAACTGGCTCGTACGGAGATAACCACGAAAACCAACCATGCAGCCAACCCATTCGTTTGGTATCATGTGCGTGCCGAACTATCAGCATTCTACGGTCTTAATCACTTGGTCACTAGTGAAACGCTTATAAATTAGCATACAAGAAAATATACATTAAAGAAATTAATACATAATAAACTAAAAATATTAGCACGTGACAGCTTTGCTTACTGAAAATTAGCATTTTTGTATAAAATTATTTTGCTAGAAATAAGGAAAAACAGAAATGAACTATATCGCATTTGACAGACACTCTTTACTTAACGAAATAAGAAATGTGTAAGCAGAATGCGTTTTCAAAATATGCTTTAAGCAGACTAACAAACCGAAACTTCTGTTGTCTTGAACTGGTATTTTTTATGAAGTTCTTCACACGGCTTTCCTTTGCAGTTCTATTCTTGTATTACTTAGCAGATTTTAAAGTCGAGCCAAATCCTGTACTTTATTCATCAATTTTTACATTAACTGAAACAATTACGGTAAAAAATTATAATAATTTTAAGACAGTATTTTTTATTACTCGGAATAGATCAGGCACTATCGTTCTCTTCTCATATTAAAAGCCAGATGAATCACTATTGCACATAAAATACAGAACGCATCAAGGTGCCATACAACTTTTTTATCGATCATCTGAATACCTCAGCTCCAAATGTATCACATTCATCAACTGATAGTAGATTAACTCATTAATTCGATTGATGATGATTTTCTGTGTTTACATAATTTATTTCTAAGGTACAATAATTAAAACTGAAGAGCAATAGGGGGAGAGGAATGAGATAGTTCATATAAATAAAAAATATTTTTCTCAGAAAATTCTCCACAGAGGCATTCTGAAAAGCCTAATCCAAATTTACTGAAAAGATTCACTGGGTAAAACTATTTTTACACTTTGCTTGTTGCTCTTAGAAAATTTACCAATTCGATTATCAATGGGTTCCATGGGGTTATTTTGTTTCAGAACAAATAAGAAAATATCAAATATGACAGACGAAAAAAATATATTTTTTATATTCACAATATAGAAATCAAAAGGAATTACTTAAAATATATTTCATTTTTAATTATAAGATTCCTTTCAACACAATTTTACGCATAAATAATTTACACGGCTAGTCATTAAAATTGCAACACCACCATGAATTAAAGCAAATATAAAAAAGATATTTATTGCACGCAACAAGTATGGCATGAAGACAAAATGATTAAATTTGTAATCATTTTGGAGGTAAACAGGGGTGAGAATTTAGCAGAAATAGCTGCCACCCATGGCAGCTAAAACGGCCCTTATCGCATTAGGCATAGAGTAAACTGGGCTTGGATGACAGAAATGGGCAACTCATTTCATGCTGCTTCAAGTCTATGCCACACTTCATCAACCCTATTAGCTGAAGAGGAGTGGCGGGACAGTTTCTCAGCAACTCATGATCAGATGTTTTCAATGGGTGATAGGTCTGGAGACTGTGCAGACTAGGGCAACAGTTAAGTACCCTGTGTATCGAGGAATGTTATGTCACTATGCAATGACTGTATTCTGTACTATGTCCCATCGAATGCTATGCCATGTTATGTCTGTGCTGAGCTATGTTATGTCGCATGCAATGCTCTCCTGTCGTAGTAACGCAACTCTAGGTATTTTATGTTATAAACATGTTATGCTCTAGATGGAGCGGGTCCCGGACTATACCCGATTAGTCTTTGAAAGCCTTCCGGGTGTCCGGCCCTGCTGTCACCTGTGTATCGAGGAAGGTCAGAACACGACATGCAACATATGGTCTTGCATTATATTGTTGGAACATGGCGTTTGGGGGCTTCGAAGATAGGTAACAAGCACTGGACGTAAGATGCCAGAAAGTACCCATTTGCGTTCAAATTACCGTCGATCCGAACTAGAGATGTACGTGTCGTGTACTCAATGGTTCCTCTAACCATACCACCAGGTGCAGGGCCCCTATGCCGATATTAAATGCAAGCAGGCGACATGCGATCTTCTCAGACACGTATACGGCCATCAGAATACTGCACGTAGCACTGGGACACTTTTGAAAAGGCGACACTGTTCCACTCTTGTCCTCAGCTTTGTTGTTTGCCGAACCAGACTCGCCATCTCTCTCTATGCTGCATTGTCAAGGAAAGCCGAAATAATAGTCACTCTGCTGATAGTCCACGCTGCTGTAAACGTCGACGCACCTTACTAGCTGATACTAGGGCGTGCTGCAAACATGCCCATTTTCTGACTAATGGTCCGTGATGTGGTCGTACGGTTTTGCAGGGCTGCCCTCACATGTCTCTCCTCTCTGGCGTTAGTCATGGGAGAGCGTTTAAATCTTTCACGCCGTTCAGTATGACACTCTACAATCCATTGATTCCATATTCGCGTGACAGTGGTTGGATGTGAACCAGTTCGACCGACGATATCACGGAACGATAATCAACACTTTCGATAGGTAACGATCCTGCCACTATCTATAACCTGATGGTAAGCATTTCCTCTTATTGTTCGAGACATAATACGATATTCCGAGCAAGCTCCAACCATACAAAACACTTTCGAATGAGAAATTCACTGCACAACGTTTCTTTTATGCAGTACTTCAGATGTCGTTTCTTCCTCCTGCGTCGTCTAAATGCACTGAGATACTAATCTTTTGCATATCCCAACTTCTTCTTCCTTTCATGTTATTTTGACGTTCGTCAGAATATTCCTTCCTGGGGTTGCAATTTTAATGGCCAGCAGTGCATATTAACGGCATTTTCAGAATATTTAAGGCGCTATCCGTTTTAAGCAAGAAACAAAAGTATGAGAAATTATTTATCATCTAAAAAATGTGCTCTTTCATTTCAATATCGTAACGATTTGTTCAACAACCCTTTTTCAAACATTTTAAGATAAAAAAGTTAGAAAAAAATTTAAAACATTTCTGTGCCGTTGCTTCTTATCATAAATCAATTAACTAACTAATCCATTAACTAAATTCTATATTCATAAAAATAGTTCATTAGATATTGGGTAAAACTGGGCAACTAGAAGTGGCACTTTACTTGAAGCCTACAAAGGCTTGTTTATACTAACATGACTTTAGGCATAATTGACGGTTCCACTAAAGGGAAAAAGCACTGATTGTTTTTATTTCCCGCCAACCTATATTATTATAATATATATAGGTGCAGGAGGTATTATGTTCGACTCAAAAATTCAATAGTGAGTTTTCAGTGAATAAGTACGAATTACGTTTCCACAATACATTTTTACTAATCTTACCATGATCTGTCTCTGTTTATATGTGACGATTTTTTCGTTCACAATAACTCTTACATAAATTTTCCAAAAATTTATGTTTCCCAACAGTCATCTATATAGTTAGATTTTGGGGAAAACTGAATAAACGAAAATGGTACTTTGTAAGTAGCTCATAACGATCTTTAATTGACATCAGGACGTGGTACTTTACAAGAAACCCAGAGAGTATTTTTTATGGAAAACTGCATTAAAGTATAATGCAAATTTTAGTATTTAAAACTTTTATATTAATGGAAGCAACACATCAGATTTTGGGTAAAACTGATAACCCGGAAGTGACAGTTTCCTTGCAGCACTGATCAGACTTTCGTAAAAAAAATATATTATAAGACAATTCAAAACCTCTCAAAATTTGGTATTAAATATAGGTATGTGACTCAGAACATCATATTGCGTTTATAATATTAAAAATATACTTGGAATTACGCTAAAGGCAACGAGAATAACTTCATTATGAAAACAAGCTCTCGTTGAGAAGGAATTAAATGTATTAGCCTCAATCCTGAATTTTGCATTTGTTTCACCATTGTGTCAAATCCTTTTCAAATAAAAAGATGCTAATACCAAATGCTACCACTATGCATTATTTACAAAAATAATACAGCAAATGTAAATAATATAGTGAGTATGAAAAGTAATGTATGACAGCATTTGGCGACAATATACAGAACTCCAATGATCCGAATCAAATGGGACCGGACCCAACTAGATAATAAAAAGTTCAGATAAATGTATTTTTTCCGAAGAAAGGGTCTACGTACACTTTAATTAATTACTATTTGTTGAAAATCGGAGAAAAAACTATTTTTAAAGAAAAAGAGGTTTTTAATTGATTAAAAGGCAACACTTTTACGTACGTATTATACAGGGTACTGTACAGTACTTACAAGTTCTGAAAGACATTGCTTGCTGAATATCTCGGTCAAAGTAAGCTGTTTGACTGTCTTCATCCGTTTCCGGGCAGCCAAGTCGCGCATCCGCTTGAACAATGAGAAGTTGTCACACTCGGGCTGCCGCTCCTTCCACTTCAATGCAGTTTCAAGGTCCCGTGTCTTCAACTATGAAATTAAGGTCATCTCCTTTCACGACACTTTCTTCTTTCACACATTCAATAAGTTCCTCAAGATTTAGAATCTGAAACCCAGGGTCTGACGAATCACACATCATCCATTCTGATATATCCTCAGCACTAACTTCTGAACATCCAGGAAGTTTCAAAAGAATGTTTCCTAATTCCTCAAGTGACGCGTCATCTTCATCTTCTCCTGTCTCTTCCCTTTCCTTTTCTCGAGCTTCTCTTTCCTTTTTCTCCTTTCCTTCTCTTCTTCAGTTGATATGCCTCTCAACTTGTTCCACGCCCGTCTTAATGTGACTGCCTTAACCAAGCTCCCGCCACCATGTAAGCGCAATTTTTCAATTTGTTTGGGTTAGCGAATATATCTTCTTCTTCGCTCTTACTTTAAACTTACTCTTTACTAAAACTTTCCTTAAACGTTTCCTTCTGTAATGGCGTTTCATGGTTTCGATAACAGACAGGTCCATTGGTTGCAACAAGCTTGTGATGTTTGGCAGTAAAACGATTGCTGTAAACTGGCCATTCCGTCTTTCCAAAAATTCTCCGGTAGGGTGAGTTGGTCCGGTCAACAATCAAAAGCACTTTTCAAGAGATTTTTGGTGCTTTTTCACTTCGATGAAAATTTCGTCGTACCACTCGGTAAACAATGTTGTAGTCATCCAAACCTTGGGTTGATTTTTATAAAAGAGGGAATCACATTTTTAAATGCTCTTTAGATTTTCAACTTCTTTATCAACAGAAGAGGTATTTTATGGCTTTCTCTAGAGTTCGCACAGGTAAGCACCAAAACATGGTCTTTACTAACTTTATGTTCTGGAGTACTACACTCCTTTTTAGATGCCAAAGTGATTTTAGGCAGAGGACTATAAATAAGACCGGTTTCATCCGCGTTGTACAAAAGCTAGGACTGTAGGAATCTGCTATAATTTTAAATTTTTCAATAAAAGTTTCTGCAGCTTTGGAATCTTCTGATAACTTCTCGCCACTTAAATATAATTCACGGACACCATGCCTACAATTAAAATTTCTTAGCCAACCGTTACTTGCTTTAAAGGATGAATAACAAAGCTTCTGAGCTAAGATCTTAGATTTTTCACAAAGAATCAGACCCGAAATTGTGTTTACCATAAAACGTTGCTGCAAAAACCACTTGAAAACGGCATTTTCTAAATTTTTGTTTGTTGCTGCCTTCATTGATTTTCTTGAAGAACTTCCATTTTCGTTTTTAAGCAGTGACACGAAGTTTAAAAGAGTAGGTTTGCTCCTTCTAATGTCTGAAATCGTTGATTGCCCAACACAGTACATCTTAGCCAACCTGTTTACCCGTAACTTCTTTATCTAATTGCTCTATAATTTTTTGTTTATCCGCTTACGATAACACAACACATTTTCTTTTAGAAGCCGTGGTTAAAGACAAAACGCACTCATAAAAAAAAAAAAAAAAAAAAAATCGCACTGATGAGAAAGAGTACCGTCACAGTATTGTAGCAGGTCAACGACCGAACAGCAACAAGTGGGTCATGTCGGTCAACTTGGCGACAGACAACAGTACTGTAACCAATAAAAGAACTTCACTATGAGACAGTGATTAAAGAATATGTATTAATAATATCTTTGCACTATGTGCGACATATGTACAAATGATATATTATGTAATCAAAATTTGAATACGAGAGCTAAGCAGTTACAACTGATGCCTACAGCCATATTTATATATAAAATAATACAAATTTGAAAGTTATTAGAAACCTCTTAAAATCGTGAAGTCTTGAATTCGTATTTTGTTCAAAAACTTATTTTCTTCTTAGCTAGTTGGGAACAGCCACAAATTGAATCCCAGTCAAGAAAATTATATCAAAATTACATGAAAAATGTGGTCACTATTTAAATGCAATTTTCATAAATTCTCAAGTCTAAAAACCAAAACAATTAACAAATTATCAAATTTCATTATTCATAGCTTACTTAAAGCTCTCTGCTATTCCATCAACTCTATAAAAATATCCATTGTTTTTAATTCGATATATCGCATATTAAATGAAATGCATTTTCATTTAAATCAAACCAATTTCGGGTAAACTAGGGGTGACCGAGTTCGTCGCCACTAGGATTTGGCGATTGAGTCCCCTAATCCCCAGCCTGCCCTTTGAAAGGGGGTCTTTTTAAGATTTTTCTCCCTTCTTTCGGCATGCCCTCGTGGTGTAATTGGAAGCATACTGGATGCGTATTCGATACTGGATGACAGGGTTCGAGTCCTGGCGAAGGCACTGCAACGTCTAACGTAAACAAAAACAACCTATTGACTCTACAGCTTAAACGTATGAAATTAAATTGAACAAGATTACATACAATTACATTAAAAATGTACATATAATAAGTTTTCAAAAAAGTACACAGTAACGTACAATAGATAAAAAACCAGTATGCAGTAAAATGTAATGAAACCGATACAAACATTTAAATAAGTTTACAACAATATTTGATTTTCAACGGAGAACGGAAATTCTAAGGAATGGCTATAATTTCATATTCCCGTTAAAATGTTAGCTCTAATTAGTTTAGCTATTTAGCTTCTAATCGGTTACAACAGAGTAAATAAATGATTTTGTTTTTTGTTTGAAGACTGATTGTTATCTATAACCGTATAAGATTTTCCTGTTAAACTCATCATTCCTTTTTTTTTTTTTTTTTAATTACAGCATACTTCGCAGAAGCAGGAGGTCCAATAGTTGGCCCTGCAGCAGAATCTGTTGCTGGTAGAGTGATTGGCTGAGAAGGGATTTGGAGAAAATTTTGGGTTTAGTGGATTAATTTTACCGCATCAAAACCCTTACAATATTCAAATTATTTATTACTGTAAAAATTCGTTATCCGTGTAAAATATTTATTATCACATCTGAGCTGCAGTTGTTCTCAATTTTTGTAAACTTTCATCATAATAAATGTGCAGTACTGAAGTTTAAAATCTGTACTGTTTATACTCTTGTACTTTTCTTGTATTTTACCAAAATAATGCTCCATGATTATTATCCATTTAAAACTGTAGGATTGTTTTTTAACATGAATGTACAGAAGCATCACTGGTGTCTGCAGCAAATGTTCGTGTCAAAGGAAGCACAGTTTAAAAAAAAAATATAATAAAAATATTTTTAAAATTATTTTTAAAATTTTAAATTATTTAAAGAAATTAATTAATATAATAAATAGTTAGACTATTGCAAAAGATGTCACAGACAATCCTTTCCTCTTCTGAAAATGAAAACAGAATAGCATTAATTTTTTAATTGACATCAAGTAAAAGTCAAACATTCAGAGGTTATAATGTTAGTTCTAAAAGTTTAATAAATATGTTCAGATGATCATGTGTAGCTGAGTTATAACAATTATTATTAGGTGTAATCACTTTTCACAAATCACCATGGCCTTATTGAAAAATATTCTAATTAAAAAATGCCCCAACATTTAATAAAATATCTTTCTATGTACTGAAATGATTTAGATCACATTAATCGAATTATTGAATTTAAGTCAAAATATAAAGTACTATTTCAGCCAGTTCTTTCTCTAAAATCTTCAAAAAACATTTGCTTAGCTAATTAGCATCAGCGTTCTTTTATTTTGTAATTTCATGGTAATTTGTTTTGTTTAACCAATATACCCAGCCCATGAGAATGAAGGAAAAATGTTAATTACAACCCGAGGAGAAAAAAATGACAAGGAAGATGGGCAAGAATTATAATTTAAAAGAGGATATAATGTATTTACAGACATCTTTTGTGCACGTGTTAACAAGATGCAAATTTTAACTCTTTCGAAATTCAGTCTGTAATTTTAGAAATTATCCCATTTTCGTTTGAAGGATTCGAAAAAAAAAAAAAAAAAAAAAACAGCAAATAAAGTTAAAAACATATCACGTTTTATAATGTTAAGTAAGTTACAAGTAAATTAGAAAAATATCTTCTAAATACAAAAAGAATGAAAGGTAACACAGAGTAGGTAAAAGTAATCATAATGAAAAGAATTGAATTTTAAATAAATCGAAAAATTTGATTGATTTTATTCAGTATCATTTATTATCAATCTAAATTTCATTGAATTTTAATGAACTGTTTAATACCAAAAATCTTATTTTCAATTACAGGGTACATAATGCAAGTAAAATTAGTATTAGTTGCGAAGTAATGTTTGCTTTTTAATTATATTACCAAATTAAAGTATGAAATTACATACAAATGCTGTCAATCAAAAAATCAGAAATCAGAGAAGAAATCTATAAGTCAAAAAGTCAAAATAAATAAGTCAGAAACCTATAATAAATAAGTCAAAAAGAAATTTTAGTTAATTTTTATGATGAAATCTTTAAAACGAAGGGAAGTCATCTGCACTATAAAATGTATGTTCATCTAAATTTTGCTTCAAAAAGTGTAAGCTACATTAAAATTTCATTTGAAAGATTTTCTTATTAAGAAAATCCTAATATTAAAAAAATTGGAATACAAATCCTCAGAATAATTAGCACTTCAAATCTCTCTTTATTGATACATAAAAGCAACAGTAGGCACCATCCACACAGTCTTGACGTTTTATGTGGAAGACACGGGAGCGCCGAAACGAGAATAACGACAGGTATTAAAGTTTTTCTGATGACGGCAGAAGGCGTGGCTGCATTGAAATTCATTGAGACTGATAGTAAGGATGAACGAAGAAAACAAATCAATGTCACTCACCAGGATAAAGTTGTTGTGCAACTGTTTTAAAGAACAATCATCGCTGTTAAACGACGAACGATATGGACAGATTCCCTTATTGCCGAGGATAATGAGCTTATTCAACCAGAGAAATTTCTTATATTAGAGGAAAGTTCTGATGGTGTCTGCAAGAGTTTTGAGAATGGTCACTTAAGGATCAGTTGACTTTCAATAAAGTGCACACCTAATGGATGTTTCATAATTTGACCGTTTGGACTCAGTTCCAGAAGTATGCTGTATGGGCCCAGTGCCTGAAGTAATACACCACACACATACAGATAACTTGCTATTTCGAAAAGTCACCGGCGACAAGATGTGCTGTCATCATTTTGAGTCGGTGTTAGTCGCCAGTCTCTCTAGCCGTAAAATTCAGATTCCCCTCCACACAGTATGTGAGGAAGGTCATTTTGAGATTCTGCTTTGATCGGTAGGACCCCTATCAACTTCATAAAATATAGCGTAACAGTGATGGATAACGTTATGGGAAGATGTTTGACTTCACTACGACAGTCAATAAAGTCCAAAGGATCTGAAAAAGCTTTCTAATGGCATTTAATATTTCTTCCATTAAAACGCTAGATCCCATACATTAAATATAAGCAATGTTTTCTTGGAGAAATTCATTTAGAAGGTTTCCAACCACTTATCTCATAGTCCGGATCTATATTTCTGTGATTTTAGTTTTTTGTTGAGCTAAAGAAAGCATTGCATGAGCAATGATTACATTCAGTTGGTAACGTGGAAGAGAGGGCTTAGAAATGACTCCAAAAAACAATCTAACCACTTTTAGCAAAACACAGTTGTACATTTATTGTCTCACAGATATAATGTCTAAATAATCATCAGAGATATTTTAAAGAAATATTAAATCTTTACTATTATAGAACGTTCGGCTCGTTTTTACTGAATACGCCTTATAGACAATTCTCACAGATGTCCTTTCATAAAGGATCATTTCATATGGTGATCTAAAATTAAGACTTTTGTGATCATCGAGAATCAGCTGCCAGCCGCAAATCAGAAGACTTAAGCCCCATTACATTGCTACTTGTAATACGAAGGCCAACATCATGAAATCAGAGAGAAAAATCAACATTCAATTGGAAAACGCAGTAGGAAAGAATTTAAGAACTGCTACGCTTAAAATGGTGAAAAACATGTCAGAAAGGACCGATAGGAGCACAAATTTACTCGTCCAGTATCAGAAAGTCCTTTAGATTGCTAGCCAAATGAGTACATTAAATAAAGTTATAAGAGTTTTTGATTACAATATTTGAATTTTCATGACGCAATAGATGTACCAAATGTTTTATTCTATAATCACGCTAGGATGTGCGAATTTAATTTTTTCTTTGCTCTGTTGTCAACTGAGGCTAAAATGTCAGAATCCTTAAATTTTGAGCACATGAAAGGCAATACGTAATGAATGCTGAAAGCAGCATGTCTTACTATCACTGCATTAAATTGGTTGTTTTACTCTACATAAGTGTTATCAGAAAACATTATATTACATCAAAATCATGTTTGGTATTAGCCATGATGACGAGGTCTTGAAATTCTACATGAGTATCGGGGTGCAACTGAGCTACGTTGCAAGTTTTAACCAGTCAAGACTTTATAATATGCAAGTGTTTATTTCCCTTTTCTCGTCATTTTTAATATTGAGTGCATATTTAAAATTATAAAAGCAATACTGAACTTTTCTTTAAAATGTAAAACTGAAAACCTTTAGAAAGAAAAAAATGAAGTATAATATATAGGAACTATGCAAATTAATTTCTTTCAAAATATGCCCCGTTACCATTGCTATGCTTTGGCATCTACTGCAACAGTTTCTAAAAACAATAATTTCGAATACCGGAAGGAACGTGCTCAATGCATTGGATAAATGTAACAACTGCTGCGTCAGAGACATGAAATGTTCTATGCAACTGTTCTTCAATTTTAGAAAGTAAAGAAGACATAAGGGCGAGATCTGAACTTTGTGCCAGATGAATTATTCCTTTGATATCTCAGGTGCAGAGAAACTGAGTTGTCTGTGCTGCGGTGCTGTTTGGGTCATTGTCGTTTAGTAGATAATAATTTGATTTCGCTGCGGTTTCGTCCGAAGATTTCACCAGGATAAAGTCGTTTTATTTTTTTAAAGTCGTTTTAGAGTTTCGGCAAATAAACCTATTAATTTGCCAGTATTTCATCCCCGCTTGACTTTTAATGGCCAGGATTCTTCTGGAAAGATGCACATCAATGACTGCAGTTTGCTCTAGGGCTCACAAGAGCACATTAAAATCCTCCATCTATTATGGAATACACTATATTGGATAGTTTTATACGAAATCTTTCAAACATTTTCATGCTTTAATTTATGCCCACGTCTTTTGCGTTGTTGTAAGTTACAGGAGATCCATATGCAGCAAAGCTTCCTGGCAGTCACCTGTCTATGCATGATTGTTTGAATCTGATTTCTACACCAGATGATTTTCGTCAATTCATGGCAAAAGATCCATGAATTTCTGCGTAAGTTACTTGTTTACCTTCTTTAAACATACGATGTATTAAATTTATATTTTCTTGTGTTGTTACAGGAAAAGGACGGATCGTTATGCTGCTCGCCACAAAATTCTTGCTATAAAATTCACAAAATCAATTGAAAAACAGTAGCCTAATGTGAACCTATGGCTTGAAATGTGTTTCGGAATCTTTTATAGTTTCCCTATGGTCATATACTTACTCTTCGATTGTAGAACAGAGAAAATTATTGCATAGATATGCTCTGAAATTATTGCACTGATGTTAGAGACTCGTGACTACAAAGCAACGGGGTGACGTCATAACATTACATATTTTATGTTGCTAGGTCTAAAAACTTTCAATATTACTGTCATATAACAAATTATACTAGTCATATAACATAGCATTGTAAAAATTACACTAATACATACAACATAGCCTTGTAAAGAACATAGTCATACAACACAGCCTTGTAAAGAACATAGTCATATGACATAGCCTTGTATAAATTACACTAATACATATTCTTTTACATTAATAATATTTACAATATGATTATATCTCTACATATAATAAAAGAAAGAGTCTGTGTGTGTGTGTGTCTTTCGTTCGCGCTTGCGCGTAAGCTAATAGACCCACGACTACGAAATTTGGTACATAGGTGCATCTAGACAAGAGCCAGTGCACCTAGAAGCGATTTTTTCGAAATCCGAATTAGAATTTTTTTAATTT